GAGTTGGGTGTAAAGTGCTGCAGTGAAAACAGTATCTAAAATGAGTTTTGAGCCCAGGGATTTAGCTCAGTAGCACCGCCCCTCCCTCACAAGTGCAAGGTCCTGAGTTCAATCCAGGTACCACCAAAAAAACTAATAAAAAATAAAATAAAATGAAGTTTGGAAATAGGGAGGGACAATCTTGGTTTGCCCAGCAAAATCCCTAGTCTGGCAAATCCAGTATGCTTGATAACTCTGAAAAGGGACACACAGAATTAGAGGAGTCCAGTTCATCAAGTTTCAGTGGTGAGCCACTGGACAAGTATTTCAGTAATCTTAATTGCTATCAGGGTGCTTGGAGTCAGACTCTCTCAGGTAACCAGAAGCCTTTTACTGCAATGAGGCCTCTTAGATTAAGGTCAACATCTTGGATTTAAGATTTTGTAGCAAGTAGTTTAGATTTGAGTGGGATTATATCATTGATTTTCTTTATTTTGCTGATCTCTAATTCTTCATTGGTAAGTCCGAGAAGCAGTCTGATCCATCTTTTTATATTAGCAGTATTTAAAAAATTTGTTAATGTAAGCAAATTGGAATCCAAGTGAAAAATTGAATTTATAGCTAATGAGAATTGTATTCCTCTTTGGATTTTTAAAATTGAGACAGTAACGTCTAAATCTCAAGATTTTAAGTAGTTCAGTCGCCTTTTCCTTTTTTAAGACAGTGTTTCCACTGTTGCTCAGGCTAGTGTCAAACCTTGGAGCTGAAGTGATCTTCCTCTATTAGTAAGGACAGGCACACACCACAACCCTTGGTGTGTGGTCTCTCTGCTAAATTTTTAACTTACCTCTAAAAGATTCAGTTACTGAGTATTTGTGTCAATAAGCAGATTAGATTAAGCTTCATACAAGCAGGAACTTCTCATTTTGGTTGAAGTGAATGGAAACATGAATTAGTCTGTGTAGTCCAGGTTGGCTTTAAACTCACTACGTATGTAGTCTGGGCTGGCTTTGAACTCATGATGATCCTTCTCCCTCAGCCTCGGAAGTGCTGGGACTACTGATGTATCACCAGGCCCAATTTCCCAGGTTACTTTATTATTATAACAATCTAGGAAATGTTGAAACATACATTTTAAAAAAATTTTAAATTAAAATCCATGTTTTGTGTAGAGTGAAAATGTGGCTTTATTTTTATTTGTTATTTTTGATACCAGGGATCCAACTTGGGACCTTGGCGCTTACGAGGCAGGTGTAGAACCACTGAGCTAAATCCCCAGACAAAAATGCGGCTTTAATTATTATAACAATCTAGGAAATGTTGAAACATACATTTTAAAAAAATTTTAAATTAAAATCCATGTTTTGTGTAGAGTGAAAATGTGGCTTTATTTTTATTTGTTATTTTTGATACCAGGGATCCAACTTGGGACCTTGGCGCTTACGAGGCAGGTGTAGAACCACTGAGCTAAATCCCCAGACAAAAATGCGGCTTTAAAAAAAATATTTATTATTATTATTATTATTATTATTATTATTATTATTATTATTATTTTATTATTATTATTATTATTTTTGCTTAATCCTCTGTGAGGAAAGGGAATTCAGAATAGTGACCTTAAATCTTAAAAATGGCAGTTCAGAACTATTGAGCCTGAAAGTGAATAGATTTGGATTGGAGGTATTTGGAAAACTCCTGTTTCTAATCCTTATTAGTGTCTGCCAGCGAAAACACTGTGGAGCATTGCTTGAGAAAGAACTGAGTCCCTTGAGATTTAGAAGCTGAGAAGCAAGAGGTCTGCTCAGGAATCATTTAAAAACCTATATAACCCAGTGCAAACCAGAAGGTTCTAAGTTAGCTTCTCAGAGTTTGGTAAACACAAGAATCTCCTGGAGAGTTGTTAAGAAACTGACTTTCCAATCCAGCCATGCATGGTGGTACACAACTGTAATCCCAGCACTCAGGAAGCTGAGGCAGGAGGATCACTGTGAGCTCGAGACCAGCCTGGGCTATATAGTGAGTTCAGGAGCAGTCTCAACTACATAGTTGAGACCGTCTCAAAAAACCAAAAACAAACAAAAAAACCCCTGACTTTCCAGCTGCAGCCCCAGAGCTTCTGATTTGTGTGGCGGGGGGGAGAAGGGGGTGGTCAGTATGGGTGTTTGCAATGACAGTTTGTAGCAGAAAGACAGTAATTTAAAATAGCTGAATATAGTCTGCTAAAAAATGATAAAACTAGGGTTTTAAAATTTTTTATGGCAGGCGAAAGTGGGGAATGAACCCAGGGCTTTGGAACTCAGCTATATCTTCAGCCTTCGAGGCAAGGTCTTACCGAGTCACTGAGTTGTCCAGCCTGGGCTAGAATTTGTGTTTGTCCTGCCTCAGCCCTAGGGGTTACAGGGATTACAGGCATGCAGCATCACGCCTGGCTTGTATTCACACACACACACACACACACAAATTCTCCTTTGCTGGGGTTATCTTAAGGAACCTCAAGGCAGCTGCCTGCTGTTTATATAATGTGAAGTTTTAAAAGGTGTTTTTGGCTTGCACTGAAGAGCCTACTCATTTTAAGTGCTACTTTTTTTGTGGGAAGTACTGTTTTGTGATGGTGTGTTGGTGGTGGTGGAGGTGGTGTAACCAGGGATCGAACTAGGACCTTGTGCTTGCCAGTCAGACACTGCCACTGAGCCAAATCCCTGGCCTGGTACTGCTTTATATTTAAGTGAACTACTCCATTGTTGGAGGAGGATTCAGTAACATTATCTTTTTAGTCTTAGACACGTTAAAAGATTCAGAGGGGAGTCCTGGAAGTTTGTTCACCTTCCAAAGTGAAAAATCATCTCTGGTGTGAATAAACTGTAATAATACATAAGATCCTAATGAGATTACTGACATTGTGAAATGGGAAGAAAAGGGGCTAAAGTTGTAGGGAAGGTGGGATGGGTAGGGGAAGGGTAATAAGGGAAAAGAAAAAAGTGTGAGATAATAAAAAGATGGAAATAAAGTGTTTGTAGGTGGGGAGGGGAGGAGGGGGTGAAGGGAGGACAGGGACAAGGGGAAAAATGAGAACCAAGACCTCTCATGTAGAGGTACAAGATCTCAATGAATGTAACTATACTGTATAATAATGTACCAATAAACAAAGTGAAAAATCATATATGAAAAAAATTTCTTTTGTACCGGGGATTCATACATGAAATTTTACGTAGATGGATTGTAGTAATAGTTAACGCTGTCATAACTTCACATATTTTACTAATCTTTACAGCCGTTTTACAGATTAGAAAATCAAGGCTGAGAAGTCCAATTACTTACCCAAGGTAATAGAGCTGTACAGCTATTAATGGTCACTGAATTTTCATGTATGATTGTAATTTGATGCCTCCTTGAGAGCAAGTGGAGAAATGTACACACTTTAGACTCCAAATATTCTGGTGTAAATTCTTGGTGATTTTGGTAAGAAGAGATGGTGATGCTGAATATTTTTTCTTTGCTTTACAAATTTTTAAAACTTCTTGTGAATTTTAATTTGAAGATTTTAATAAAAATCTTAAGAAATAAATTTGTACCATAGTGACGTGATACCTAACAATGTTGTTAAACCACCTTTAAGTCTTTATATGTAGTGAATTATTCAAACTTTATATTATTCCCTTTTCTTCTTGACAGTGTATTTGTTAATTTCCCCCACAAAAATTTTGATACAATAAATGTTTATGAAAATATACTTTTGTTCTTTCATTCTTTTTTTTTCTTTTTTGGTACCGGGGATCAAACTGTCCTTGTGCTTTTAGAGGTAGGCCAGTGGAACCATTGAGCTAAATCCCGGGCTCTATTCATTCATTCTTTGTAACAATAAACATTTTAAATTTGCTGTGTAGTCATAAGGCACCAGAGGCTCTCGTGTTCTTTCTGGATTATTAATAGTGGTAGCACTCACCAGTGATCTCGGCTACTTGGGAGGCTGAGGCAGGGAGGGCAGCACATTTGAAGCAAGCCCACGTAACTTGGTGAGACCCTGTCCTGTCTCAGAATAAAGGGCTGGGATGTAGCTGTGTGGTGGAGCACATAGCTAATCTGTGCAAACCTCATGTTCCATCCCCAAACACAAAACAGATTGTTATTTCACCTACATAGCAAATTGTACATATTCATTTGTTGGTGTATGGTTTTATTAAAAATATGTTTCATAGATGGATTTTTTTTTTTTTTTTTTTTTTTTTTTTTTTTGGTACAGGGATAAAACTCTGGACCTTGTGCTTGGGCGTTGGAAGCAGAGCTAAATCCCCAGCCCCACAGATGGAAATTTTAATGGTCTTGATTCAAGGAGTTGATTTCAAATTCTTCTCTGGGTGTGGCTTCCCAAGGTTTTAAAAATATTTAAAGTATAGGAAACCAAGCTTCAGGATAGGTAAGGGAACCTTTAAAATGTAAAATGGGAGGGAAGATGAGCTAGGAGAACAGGCTTGATCCACTTTGCAGGCATTTGTGTACACAGGGATGCAGATTTTAGGACACGACATAGAACTTGATCTAAAAGCAGTTCAACTATCACCTGCATCCTTGAGTACCTCTGGTGGAAAAGCAGCTACTAAAACTGGTGAGAAAGATATTAAGATGTTCACTTCAGCAGTATTACAGTAAATAACATTTCCTTCAGTAAAGGGTTATATACTTTTTAGCAGTTAAGGTGTAAAGTCATAGCACCCCATTTCAAAACAAAGTAATACTGTGAATAATATATATGAAAAAGGAACATTGTTTATCCTGATGAGGACTAATGGGGCAAGGAGATTTATGTATAAAAATATATATATTTTTTTTAGAAAAAGCCAGTTGAAGATGGTAAGTTATGTATGTTAAATTGCTAATATTTTTTTAATTTCCCTAAAGTATGTGTGAAACAAAAATACACCTGGGGAAGATAATGGGATTTACTTGGTGAAAGGACAACGTATTGATTAGTAAAAGTGCCAGTGAGCAGTCATACATTATGCCATCTAAAATAGGTATAAAAAGTTTATTTCTGCCATCAAAAGCCTGTGTTGATATTGTTATATTGATTCCAACACTCATTTCCTGTGTGGTTCTTTTAGCCAGTGCCAAGATTAGCTTTCCCCAGTGTAGGTTAAAGATTAGTGTCCAAAATCTTAAGTCTTTTGGTTGTTAAGGCATAACCTTTGCCTGGGTTTCCTACACCTATAGGGTTATTATCCAAAGTTCTTTACTGAAGTATTGTGCTTTTGAACTCGGTGACCCAAACACTAGATTGTTTATAATTTTTATTTAACAATGTTTAGGGGCTGAAAAAGACTATTATATGTATGTCTTAACTACATATGAAGATAATCACACAGTAGTGAACATTCCGTTTTGATTGTAGAAGTTGAACATCTCCTGCAGTGACACTTTTGGTTATCACATGATCAGAAAAATACTCGTCCCAGCTCAAACATTACCTTAGGATGATAAAAAGAGTAATTAATTTCATGGCAAAGAATGACTGATAGGAACGAAAAAGACTTCCAGATGGGTTACTTGATACAACCTTAGTTACAAACAGACTTAGTCACTGGAACAATGTCAACCCCTTTTCTGCTATAATTTTGTGTCCCCAAGTGGTCTTCGTTGTCACAGGCCCTGTATTTATAAAAAGGTGGTAAATGACTGCAGTAGTGTTTCTACTCACCTCTATGGTGATGAGGATGACAATCATCCACTCCAGGCGGAGTGCCCTCTTCTCATTCAGGTGATTACGCATTAGATCTGTTAGTTCCATGCAGTGCTGGAGTTTTTCATTCATGACCTGTATAAGAAAGATCTTAGTTTGTTTTTAAACAGCTTACTAAGATAATGGGTAATCTGGTCACTTGCTTCAAACTTCTGCATATGCATTAAGAGTGAAAGTCATCTTTTGAACTCTTGCTCTCCAGTCCTATCCCCAAAGGCAACCAACCAGCCTTTGTTTGCTTTCTAGTCAATCTACCCAGAGCTGTTTTGTAATGCAGATTTAATGAACTATGCATGCTAATCTACTTTAAGATGTTAAAAGATTTAAAAATAAAATTTTTAAGTCCTAGTTTCTGGTAGCTGTCTTTGTTTTTAGCAAGAAAAATAAGCCAAATTTAGGATGCAATTAAAAAAAAAAAGCATGGACTAAGGATGATAAAAACAATGGTTACCTTGAAAAAAACTCCTTAATGCTTGACCTGCTGCAAACTCACCATTAGATGGCAGTACTTCCTCACAACTGAGAAGGCTGCATTATGATGCCTGATTGATGGTAGTTCATGGAAAATAACACTCAAAAAACTTAGATGTTACTGATAGTCATGGCTACCTAGTATCTCTGTACTTAGCTCTGAAAACTGGAAAGTCTAGAAACACTTTAAAAATAGATTTTATGGGGCATGTTGAAGGTGCAGTGAGAACTAACTAAGCACAAATGCATGTACAGGGACTGACAGGACATGTCAGTCAGTGCATCATTAGAATGTTCACATTCATTAGAATTCTGCACAGAGGATCAATGAGGTAACACTGAAATGTGGATAACATTCACGTATATTCCAGATTTTCTTTTTTCTCCCAGAACTGGAGATTGAACCTGGAGCCTTTGCACTGAGCTGCACCCATCTCGAGCCCTTTTATTTTTTATTCTGAGATAAGGTCTTGCCAAGTCGTTCAGTTTCCTGGGCTGGACTCCCAACTTTGATTCTCTTATTTCAGCCTCCCAGAGTGGTGGGATCACAGACATGTAACCACGCAGTCCTGTATCCCAGATTTTATGGTAGGTTTTTTTTTGCCATATTGTAAATGACTTTGAGATTATTTGATTTTTTGGATCATTTACATTCTAAGATTATGTGGAACACCTTGTCCACATTGAAGCAGGTTGGTTGAAGAAGAGAGATTTATATGTGGGGCTGGCTTTTGTAACCTTTTTCTGACATTGGGCAGTAATAGCTAATGTTTAACTGCATATATATGTAATTATACATATCCATATATATGTACAATTTTTTGGGGGGGGGCTTGAGACAGGGTCTCACTATGTAGTTGAGACTGACCTGGAACTCACTATGTAGCCCAGGCTGGTCTCAAACTCACAGTGATCCTCCTGCCTAAGCCTCCCGAGTGCTGGGATTACAGGCGTGCACCACCATGCCCGGCTATATGTACAATTTAAAAAAATTTATTTTTATTAGTGTATAACATTTATTTGGGTGGAGTTGACCTTGCAGTTTCTAGTTTGATTTTAGAGCAATGCTTTTGCATCCCTATTCATCCCAAATTTTTCTGTTGACTGCTTCATCTGGCTCTAGAAGAATGGTGGTAAACCTGTGGCATGCAGAACTGTCTCTGTCAGCATGTGAGCCAAATGTGAGTTTAAAAATTTTTTATTTATATTTATTTTCTGGTACCGGGAATTGAACTTAGGATCTTGAGCTTTCCAGGCAGGTGCAGCAGCACCACTGAGCTACATCCCCAGCCTGCGTTTTTTTTTTTTAAAACTAAAACCTCCGTATTTGAGTTTAATTATAGTGCAGTTTGGGCACTTGGTCTCCAAAAGTTTTGCCATCTCTGATCTAGATCACTGGTCTAGAACATGTTCATCTTTAAGCTTGCTTTTCTTGTTAAACTACTGACTTGGCCTTTAATTTTAACTTTGACCTCCACTTTATTATCAGAAATGAGATGTTGCTACCACTCTCCCAACATTTCCAAAAGACTCCTACTTGTTACATTTAATGGCTCTTCATTCCAAAGCTCCTACAGTGACGTGCAAGTCAGAGTCCCTATACTGTGTGTTCAAAGCATGGCAAAGTGTTCTGGCTGGAATTAGTGGCAATGTTTCTTACTGTAATTTTTATTTTTTTTATTTTTTATTTTTTTGGGAGACAGGGTCTCACTATGTAATTGCGACTGACCTGGAACTCACTATGTAGCCCAGGCTGGTCTCGAACTCGCAATGATCCTCCTGCCTCAGCCTCCCCAGTGCTGGGGTTACAGGCGTGCACCACCACACTTGGCTACTGTAAGTTTTAAACATCTACTGTATTTTGATCACCCCTTGTATATCCCAAATACTGTAGTTAAAATAGTACTCCCCACCCTACATTCCTAGAGCCTATGAAAATGGCAAAAGAAAAATTTTAAAGATTATGAAACTAAGGCTGCTAATCAGGCAAACTTGAGAGACGAGACTAGATAGCTGGGTAGGGCCAGTGTAATCATAAGGGTCCCTATGTAGGATGATCAGATGTGAGGACCACTCACCTACCTTTGCTAGACAGGAAGGGGTACAAATGCAGAGTACAGGCAGCCTCGAAGAGCTGGGAAAGGTAAGGAAATGGATCCTGCTTGCCTCCAAAAAGGAATACAGCCCTGCCAACACCTTGATCTTAGTCAAGTGACAAGCTGTACCAGGCTTCTGACCAACAAAACAGTGATAAATTTGTGTTAAGCTTCTAGGCTTGTGGTAATTTGTTATAGCAGCAACAGCAAACTAATAGGTTATAAATTTTCTGCAAGTAAAAAGGAGTCATTTGTTTAACCAGTAAATACTCAGTAGATAGACTTTCTGTCTTTGGGCCAGAAGGTACAACAGGACTGGGAAAAGGTCTGCTCGAGAGGCTGGAAAACATGCAAGGACACAGACTGCTCTAGGTGGGGGAGCAGCCAGTGTGGTACCCTCCCCTTGGGTCGGTCTGTCACAGGCTTTTCAGTAATTATGTGCCGGCAAACACGTGGCACACGGGGAAATGAAAAGGTGGTCTGATGGCATGTAGAAGGTGAAGCAGAAAGGACTCCACGATGACTTCTGTTTCCCACTGAATGACTAGACAGCTGAGGCTAGATGGTCTTGCCATTGAAACAGCAGAAAAAGTTCAGAATATAATCCATTTCATTTTGAAATCTTGTTACTGATTTTTTCTCTGCTAGTACTGAGTACCTATTATATACGTGGTATATTTGCCAAGAATTGGGAAGCCAATAATTATGGTCTCTGACCTCAAGAAGCTGCAATGCTGCAGACGAGGATCTGTGAAATTGAGGAGGCAACGAGAAAACATTCAGAAGGCAAAGGGACTGGACTGTCAAAGGTACATCATGTAGAAATGACTGGGCAAAGGCAAGAGGAGGAGTCATGGAAATGAGTGCTGGTGAAGGAGACGGCATGTGGAGAGAAGCTTCAATTACGGAACTCGAAGGCTGCTAAGGAGAAAACAGGCCAGCACTGGTACAGACAGGTTTCTGTCCCGTGACACCCATGTAACTGCTCTCTGAATCTTTTTATGAAAGGACTTGACCTCTGGTCTCAATTTTTCTGCTTTTCACCATGTCTGACACCCAGTCACCCCCATTTTTCTCAAGACTTTTGATGGAAAAAAAACCCTCTTCATCGAAGAGTCTTGAAAGATTACAAGCTTGCTGAAAATCAGGACCAGTTCTCATTCTTTAGTCCTGCTATATAGTGGATGTTAAGTGTCCCCTAAAAGCACATGTGTTAAATAAAGGCTTGGTCCCCACAGTGGCGCTGTTGGGAAGTACTAGAACCTTTAAGGGCCTAATGGGAAGTCTAGGTCACCGGGAGTGTGTCCCTGAAGAGGACTGTGGGACCTTGATTCTTCCTCTCTGTTCCTGGCTTGTGATGGAGTTTTGCTCTGCTCTGTGCTCCTGTCAAAATACGCTGCCTTGCCACAGGCCCCAAATGGGCCAATAACTACAATTTCCAAAACCGTGAGCCAAAAATGAAGCTCTTCACATGTTAATTATCTCAAGCACTTTGTTAACAGTGACATAAAGCTGACACAAACCCCCTCCAAATAATCTTACACAGTTCAGCCAGTCTTGCCTGCTTTGGGGATGCTAAAAAATTCGAGAAACGTAGTTAGAACATTTAGGTTCATAACTCCTGTGGGCGATCTACCACCAGAAGACATCTAAGACTGAGATCAGGTAAGGAATATTAGCTTTCTATTGTTAAGGACTACAAAACAGTTTAAGGTTGCCTGTCAGCTATGGAGATGTCAGGCATTTGTAAGGAAATGTAGACCAAGGAATTCTGTATCTTTCTACTCTGGCTACATACTTTTTATAGATTTTTTTTTCATATAAAAAGCCTAAGATGCCAGGCGTGCATTCCTGTAATCCTAGCACTTGGAAGGTGAGGCAGGAGCATCACAAGTTCGCCAGCCTGGGCCACAGAGTTCAGCATCAGCCTGAATCACATAGTGAGACCTTGTCTCAACTGTACCCTTTCCCCCAAGAAAGGCCTAACATGCCCAGATATTCTGGAGACCCCAAAGACCCAGAACATCCCACAGAAAATGCATAGCTCAAGAGGCAAAACTAAATCAGATCATCACAGTGCAGTCGAAGTAATGAATTGGAGAGTTCTGTACAAAGTCCTCCAGAAGCATAAAACAAGCTGGGGTTTGGGCTCACCTGGTGAGATGTTGGCAAAGATGGTCCTAGCCCAAACAATTAATCAAATCACATCTATTTCAGAGTATGAGATCTATAATTTTTCTTTTTTGCTTGGTGTTAAGGGGACTGAATCTAGTGCTTTCACAATGAGGCACACCCCCATTCTACCCCCCATTCTAAAAAATTTTGAGACAAGGTTTTTTTTTTGGGCAGGGGCTACCAGCAATTGAACTCAAGGCAGGTGCAGTACCACTGAGCTACATCCCTGGCCCATGTGAGACTTTTTTTTTTTTGGTACTGGGGATTGAAATGTATTTTTGTTTTTGGTACCGGGGATTGAACTCTGGCCCATGCTCTTCCAAGGCAGGCGGCGGAACCACTGAGCTAAATCTCCGGCCCAAGATGTATTTTTAATAGTGCCAGACTGAAGAGCAAATATTTCTTTTGTAGCACTGATTTGGTGCAGTACTATGCATTTTTCCCAGGCGATCTTTAAGGTTTCAGAAGCCCATTACTGTATTTTTAATACAGTTTACATTAGATATTTTAAAATGACTGCCACAGGGTGGACCTACAGGAACCTTCACATTCGGGGATTGAGTGAGCCTCGCTCTGTCAGAGCTCTGGGTGGCTCAAACAACTTTCCAGTAGTGGAGAAGTCAGTCCATTTGGAGGAGCTCTGTCCCTGGGCAAGCCTGAAGTGTTTCATGTCCCTTCCTCTGGTTTGGCAGATAACAATGAAGTAGCAGTTTCTCTGAGGGTTTTGTTTTTCTTTGTTAATAGTTAAGTCTTGTTCAGCTAGGTGATTAGTCACTGCGCTACTATTTTCTTATTGGTCCTTTTACATTTCTCATCTTTTACTGCAGCTTTAATGTTAAACAGGGATTTGCATAAGCTTTTCGTTTTTATTTTTTTGGTGGTATTGGGGATTAAACTCAATGCTTTTGTATTGAGCTATATCTGTAGCCTTATTTTGACAATAGATCTTGTTAAGTCATCAGGTGTGCTCAACCTTTAGATCTTCCTGTCTCTGCTTCTCAGAGTGTGGGATTACAGGAATGCACCACCAAGACCAGCTTGAGTTAAATTCTAGAAAGACATCATTATCTTTTTACTTCTCCCCTCACTGCTTAATTGCTCAAACCATCATCATTGGTGACTAATCTTACTCTCTTGTACTCTCACCCAGGAGGGGCAAGTGAAGGATATCATGGACATCGATATGGAAGAATACTGTAATGTGAGGGTGGCCACAAGATGGGTCTGTGTGTCTGAGCTCAAGCCTGCCAGACAGCTGGTTGTCGTGGCTATTGCTTAGTCTTTTATTAATTAAGCAGAGCAAGCTGGCTGTCAGAAGAGGGACAGAAGTCTGCATCTATCTCCTTGGTGGCAGTGACACTGAGCTCATCAGAAGAATCAGTTCTACCCTGTCTCTGTAAATAACAAGGGCAAAGAACAGATTCATGGGCAGTGCAGCTGAACACTGAGATTTTGATGAGATTGTTTTCAAACTGACACATAATTCATATAAAACGCACCCATTCCAAGTACATAATTCAAAGGATTTTGATATATACCCATGTAACTACAGCCACAAAAAGTTCCCATCACCCTTTGCAGTGCAGCCCCCAAACCTTGCGGAATCAGTGATGTACTTCATTTTGTTGTGTGTTTTTTTGTTTTGTGTTTTGGTACCTGGGATTAAACTTGGGACCTTGTGCTTGTGAGGCAGGCAGCAGAACCACTGAGCTAGATCCCCGGCTGATGTATTTTCTTTAGATTAGATTGTCTAGAATGCCTTACAAATCCAATAGCACATTGCTTTTGTATTTTGCTTCTCCTCAGCATAATGATTTGGAGATTTACCTATGTTGCTGTATGAGCCAGTAACTGCTTTTATTGCATAGTGGTATTAAACTATGGTTTAACTATGTTTTGTTTTTTTCATTCACTTACGAATGGCCATTTGGTTGGTTACAGTTTTTTTTTTTTGTGGGGGGGGTTCCAGTTTTTGACTAGGAATATATCTACAAACATTTTGTACAAATCTGTATAAGGTAACGTGTTTTCATTTCTTGTGGGTAATACTTAGAAATGGAATTGATGGGTCTTATGGTAAGACCACGATTAACTTTATGAGAAACTGCCAACCTGTCTTGCAAAGTGATTACACCAACTCTGCAAGGGCTTTCTGCACAGGTCTACGGTTCCAGAAACTGGGTCAACACTTGGTTCTTCCAGCTGAATATGTTAATAAATGTTAATCCTTTTGGGGAGGAACTCAATCTCAGACTGGCTTCTAAACCAGACAATAGGATACATCAGCAGAAAAGGAAGGGCATGGATAGGCCCCCACCCCTGTGGTTCTACATATTTGAACCCAAGGAGTACGGAGCCAAATTCCTGTTTAAAATTTTTTATTTTGTATTGTGAATTTAAGGTAGGGCCTTTGCACTGACCTTACATCCCTAGCCTTAAACAATTTGTGTTGAGGGAAGGTCTTGCTAAGTTGCCCAGGCGAGGCTTAAACTTGTGATCTTCCTGGCCTTGACCTCTCAGAGTGCTGGGATTGCAGGTGTGTGCTGCCACAGGGACCTCTTCTGTTGCTACGGTCATGCCCACCTTTACCCCAGCACTGCCGCCTCCACAGTGAGCTGGACACAGAAGTCTCCTCGCTGTGCTTCTACTCTTCTGAATGGGGGGCAGTGCTGGGGATTGAACCCAGGGCCTCACCCACGCTAGCAAGTGCTCTACCACTGAGCCACATCTTCAGCCCCAGTTGAGTATCTTGGTGCCTATCTCAGCCTATCTTAAGTTAGTCTCTACTTACCTGGTTTGCCACCTTTCCCCCTGTCACCCACTGACAAACAGCAGTCCCCTGCTCCTCTTCCTGGCCTCCATTTATGAATCACTTCATTCCACCTTACAGGATTTTTTCTCCAGTTTATTCTGTTTCCACAGTCACCACACTAGTTCGTGATCCCAGAAACTCGTGCTTAAAACTTGGGAAGAACTTCCTAATGAGCTGTTAGGCCTCCAAATTCTCACAAATATTCACTAGTCTTAACAAATATCAGACAATCCCTTGACATAAAAAGCAATTATATGGAGGATGAGGGAAAGAATAGGACACTGAAAGAGATTGGAACAGAAGTCAAACATGAGATTTCTCTGATAGCAGTTAAGCACATTCACTTAATTTAAACTTGCATAGTCATACAAATTATAAGCAACACGTCTATTCTCTTTTTGTTATATTTTTTGAGACAAGGTTTCACTATGTAGTTCAGGCTGGCCTTGAACTCACTATGTAGCCCAGGCTGACCTTGAACTCAAAAAAAAAAAAAAAAAAAAGATCCATCCTCCTTTCTCTCTGGAGTGCTGGGATTCCAGGCAGCATCTTCATGCCCAGCTGCATTGCTCTTAATGTAAGTGCAGAATGCATACCTTAACTCTTCGAGTAATGCTGAGGAATTGACAAGTTTTATCATAAAGTTCTTCCAGGTTTTCTCGGTCCCAGTAGAAATCAGGAGTTATCAAGAAGTCTGAACTCAAGTTTATACGGTGTCTTTAAAAAAAGAGAAAATCACATTTTTATTAGCCTTGCACTAAAAGTCACTTATACATTTTATATTTACATGGTGTTATATGAAAGTATTCTTAAATGCTGACTTTGCAAAATACTTATGACACATATGTAAATTAAAAATTTGCAAAATTTCAAATATCTCAACTAAATTCAGTCTTTAATAACAATATGGGTTGAAGGGAGGGGAGGGAATTGGGGAATAAAGAATCAAGATATATCATGCACAGGTACAAACTGCCTACGATGAATGCTATGTATATCTAAAATATACAAATAAGACAAAAAATTTATGAACTAGAAAACTATTTTGTTTTCAATTTCTACCTTATTTAAGGTTTTACAATATATATGCACATGATTTTTGGGGATAGGAGGCATGACACAAAAACTAGACAGACATAAGATAGAAATTGTAAATCTTATTCCTGTTATTTTCAGCCTCTCCCTCCCAGGAGCAATCATTACGTTTCCTTTTTCCCTTCCAGTCATTATGCAAACACAGGGCAAGCAAACAGACACATTCTCTTAATTTCTGCTTTTCTATAAAGAGGCCCAAGATTACGTCAAAAACTTACATGAGCTAGGTGTGGTAGTACCTGTAATCCCAGAACTGTGGAAGGGGAAGGCCCAAGGAGGACCTAGTTCAAGCCTAGCCTGAGCAATACAGAGAAACTTTCAAAATGAAAAGTTAAAAGGGGTGGGGGTTGAAAAAAGGAGAAAATTTAAGTTGTAAAAGTTATGCATGAATAGCCATTAACTAGAAAAGAATACCTTAGAGAAGAACTCAGAAAAACAGTGGTAGGCCCTCAACCCGTCACACACGTCAAATCCTTTACTCTTCCCAAGGGGAGGACCTGCTCAAACACTGACGTGGCCTTCCAGACCTTTCCACACGCATACGTGTGTGCATGGACACGTGTAATAGATATTTTTAACTAGGGATTTATTCTCTTACACAAATGGAATCATGCTACATGTAATTTTTCATCTAGTATACCTTGCCATGTTTCTTTTTACACATTATACTCCTTTTAATAGTAAGCACTTTTACCATAAAGATTAAGAAAACTTCGGGTAAGAAAAGTCAAGATTTATAAAAACCATGAATCTTAAGTATAGTCTTTTAAGCTTTAATATATTGCCTATGTTAGATTCTGCTTGAGGTACCAAGTGGACAGGAGAGTAGAGCACAGGCTTTGGGATCTGCTGTGGGGTGCTGACAGTGGGGGACCCTGAATCGGGGCCCCTTACCATGAGAAGTGTGGAGAGGGTGAAATGGTAGCCCGCTGCTCTCCAGGGACAGCACCCAGGGAGGACGAAGAGGGCTGGCTCTCAGGCGCTCTGGTAACTCATTCTCCACTAGAAGGGATGAAAGTGGACAGGGCTACCCAGTGAGAGAAACGAGGCCCGTAAAACCCGGGGAAATTACAGGAATCAGACACTGAAAATCTTTCTAGACATTTGTCTAAAATAAAACATTATTGTATTTTATCAATTTTAAGACATACTTCTTTCCATTTAATATCCTACAATAGGGAGCGCCTGAAAATGGATGGTGTGTTAATGTGACAGTTGTGACTTATCATTATCTTAAACAGTTTGTTTTCCTTGTTTCCTTTTCATGTATGCTCAAATGGGAATGTGATAGAGTCTATATTCAAATAAGACTAAAAGGGCTATTTCAGTAAGTGTCAAACTTAAATTCCATGATAAAGCATCATCATAATCCTTGCCTATGGCATTTTAGTGTCTCAGGTTCAATGAAATATAGTACATAACTTCTTCAGTCATTACAGTAAATCTGTTTAGCATTATAATGCAGTGGAATTCCCAATGCCACATTCCAGGACATACCTTCCTACCTTAACATCTACTGTGCCCCTCGATATGGATTTCATGTGGACTAAGCAAGATCGCTCTTGCCCATGCTGAATTCCCTCTAGTACAGTCTTACTACAGCCTGCATGCTTCTCGTTGGAGAGTTCTGCCTGCTTATAATTAATGAAATGGAAATAGCTGTAATTTCCCAAAGGTATAAGTGTTTACTCTCTTAAAAATTTATTTGTTTTTGAGACAGAGTCCCACTATATAGATCAGCCTGGCCTTGAACTCACTATGTAGCCCAAATTGGCCTTGGACTTATGGCAATCCTCCTGCCTCAGCCTCCCAAGTGCTGAGATTACAGGTGTGCACCACCATGCCTGGCCTATATGTCTACTCTTTACCATGAAACTACAGCCATGATTTATTGAGATTGCTAAATGTATGAAATATTTATAAGACAAAATTTTACCTTAGGGCAAAGAGTTCACCCATTTTCTGCATAACTTCTTTATGAGATAGTTTCACTTTCTTCCCAGCTTTTAAAGCCTATTTGGGAAAGAAGAAAACCACATACACAGTCAGCCCTCAGTACCTGTGGGTTCTGTATCTGTGGGCTCAACTAATCACAGAAAATATTTTTTAAAATACTGTATCTATGGCCCGGGGATTTAGCTCAGGGGTGGCGCTGCCTGCCTCGCAAGCACAAGGATCTGAGTTTGATCCTTGGTACAAAAAAAAAAAAAAAAAAAAAAAATTGCATCTGTACTGGATATGCAGAATATTTTTCCTTGACATCATTCCCTAAAGATGACAGTATAACAACATTTACAGGGCTGGGAGTGTATCTTAGTTGTACAGGACTTGCCTACCAAGTTTGAAGCCCCAAGTTTGATCCCAAGCATTGCAAACAAATAAAACAACAGAGAACCAAATAAAACCCAATCCACTGTATACAGCATTTATATTGTATTAGGTATTACGAGTAATGTCTAGATGATTTAAGGTATACAAGAGGATGCACATGCATTATATGCAAATCTCTATCATTTTATATAAAGATGAGCACCACAGGCTTTGGAATCCTGGGATGGGAGCCTGCGTGGTCTGGAGCCAATCTCCCATGGATACTGAAGAATGACTGTATATATGTGTGTATCTCCCAATACGAACTGGGCCCATCAAACAAATTCTGAAAGGGCATAATTTTAACTTAATGTAAATAACTCTTAGTGATGGTGTCCCACATGTGTATCTTAACTCGCCCTGAGATTTCAAACTCTTACTAGAAATCTTGCACTTTATTTTTTTTCATTTGCCTTTGCAGTAGTTTGGACCTTGAGTATCCCCCAAAGTCCCTGGTGTCAAAGGCTTGTTTTACAGTCTGGAAGGTGTTGGCATTAGGAGGCGGGACCTTGGGGAGGGGCTCCTGAAGGACCTGCTCCTCCTCCGCCCACTCACTCAGTTCCTTGCTGACATAAACATGTGCTTTCTTCTCTGGTATGTTTTCTTACCACCTGCCCCAAAACAATGGGTCTGCCCAACCATGAACTCAATCTCCAAACTCTGAGCCAAAAGAAGCCCTCCATATGAGCTGATTGTCTTAGGTCTTCAGTTACAGTAACAGACTAATACATCCCTCCCATCAACATTTTCTATGGCACACATTTCTCATCTCTTATTGAAAAAGCAGGGTCTCTTCTTCCAAGAATAATCAATTACATTATTCTGTCACAAAAAAAATTAGTTATAGTAAAAATGATTTTTAATGCACTTTGAAATTTTAATATAACCTTATAGTTTTATATAGTAAATGTATATAACTAAATATATACATGTTTATATGCTAGTATTCTCAAAACTTAGCAAAATAATTTTTTGGGAGGAGGTACTAGGGATTGAACCCAGGGTCTTCACACTGAGCTATATACCCACCCCCTTTTAAATTTTGAAATAAGTTCTTGCTAAGTCACTAAGTTGACAAGGCTGGGTTTGAACTTATGATCCTCCTGCTTCAGCATCCCAGAGTGCTAGGATTATGTGTGTGTGCCACCATGGCTGGCTTTAAATACTTCTTTTTATTTATTTATTTTTTGGTACCAGGGACCAAACTTGGGTCCTTGCGCTTGTGAGGCAGGCGGCGGTACCACTGAGCTAAATCCCTGGCCCCCTAAATATTTCTTAATCATGAAAAAGTGGTGGCAATTGCCTTCCTCAAAAAGGAAAGATTTCACTGTTTTTCTTACTATTTATATTAATATTGTGCCACATAGGAAAGTAATCTGGAGTTTAAAAAACAATATGAGAAGGTACAAGACCCCAGTAATGAATGTAACTGTACTGTCTACCTAGATGTACCAATAAATTCAATTAAAAAAAAAACAATGTGAGATTTCCTCTTTCATCATTTTATACATAATTGAAGTTTTTTCCCCTTAAATTTCATCTAGCTTTTCTAGTGTTTACTACTTTACTATACTCATAAACACATAGTGTTACATTGAGGAATTTGTACTTTTCTCAAACAAATAGAAATCAACCCTTGAAAACAAGCATAAAACTGCAATAATTACCTCTGGAATTGACTGAATAGACTCAATAAATTTATCCAGTGTTGCTTCCCAAATAGCTAGTTTCACTGAGGGAAAAAAAAGTTAACATGGAACATTTACCATCATAATCACGTTTATACAAATGTATAAATGCACAGTACGCTTGCTGCCATTTCACCAATAGTTTAAGAAGCAAAAGCACTTAAAATTGAAACTAGAACTCTTAACAACAGTTATGATAAGGGACAGTGCTGATGCAGGAGACGACAGGAGACTCAGATTTCTAAGCCCTGTTGGCGGACCTGAGGAGACAGACGGGATTTTCTAACGGTGCCTTAGAAACTGGAAGGTGCGAGGCCACCTGGACAGGGGCAGCTCTGCAGAGGAGCGGATGTGAGGCTCCCTGGCCTTCTACTCCGCAGGACTTGGACAGAAGCGCAGATGTCTGTCTCTGCAGCCTGATGCAGACTTGTTGCAAAAGAAACACAGAGCTTGGGTAGTTTTATTGGGGGCACAGCTCTTTCAGGGAGAGTTAAAAGCTGCTGCAACTCTTCCATTTATGTGCAACAGGAATGTGGTTTCCTCCACAGAGGCCATGCCCAGGCAGTCACAGAGAGCAGGACTGTCTCTCTGCACTGGAGACCATGAATGTGTAACAGTAGTCACACAGAGAGAAGGGGAGCGGCAAACACAGGCACTGGCAACAGTACAAAAATACTTTTGGAGGTGAGTGTTCTCAATATAATTAACATGGAATGTGTAACTTCAGCAGGGACCATGTTTTACACCATCTGTAATCTATAAACGTTTTTGTTCTGTGTTCTGTGAAAACATGACAAAATCTTTACCAAATTCTTAAACCCACGATGATATGAAAACTAATACCTTTTCCAAAAAGTAGCAATAACTTACCAGAAAGGCAGAGAGCATTGGAGAAAGCAAATTTCTCTAGAACGGCATCATCTAAATCTAGCTCTGAATTTAACTTGATTTCTCCTCTGTGCAGTTTAGACTGTCCCCTGTGAAAAATGAAAAAAAGCATCTTCTAAATCCTTAAAAATCTTTAAAAATTTTATTTATTTACTTATTTATTTATTTATTTATTTATTTACTTATTTATTATTTTGCTATGTAGCCCAGGCTGGCTTTGAATTCAAGGCGATCCTCCTGCCTCAGCCTCCCAGTGTGCTCGATTACACCACCATGTGTGCTAGGATTACGTGAGCCACCATGCCCGGTGTCTTCCAAATTTTAAAAGTACTTTAAATTTCTCTTTTGAAAAAATACGCCTTATAAACTTTCTAGAGGTCACTTTGATAATATATATCAAGAATTATATAAATTTTCTCAGAATCTTTACTGGAACTAATTCAATTTCTAGAAATGTATCCCATGGAAACAAAAGATGTAGAGAAAAATTTGTGTACAGAAAACTTCTCATGGTGAACTGTTTAGAATAAAAAATGGAAAGAAACTAAATGCTCAATAGAAGGATGGTTCAATATTACTAATTCCACAGAACAAATATCAGAAACTAGAAGGCACCATAAGCCAGGCATGATGGGGCACAACTGAAATCCCAGCACTTGGGAGGTTGAGGCAGGAGGATCACTGTGAGACCAGCCTGAGCTACTTGGTGATTGCAAGGCCAGCCTGAACTGCATCGTGAGACCTTGTCTCAAAAAACAAAACAAACAAGAAAATGTAAACTTTCAATTTTGGGGTTGTACTATCTACTTAATTTGTGGCTATCCTGACATTTAAAAAGTTTTCTATATTCCTCTGTTTATTATATGACATAGCCTTTTTATTTATAGCAATACATTTTTTCTTAAAATTAGTCCCCATATTCATGAACAGTTTATTTCCTCTGCTTTTCCGATTTTTTTTCCAAGTGCCCTTTTCATAGTTTGATAAAAAGGTGCTTACTCTATTTTCATGTAGTTAAGCTCTTCATTTTCCCAATGTACCAATGCAATTTCATACGGTTGAATTTCATGTTTCTCTAGAATCTGCAGCACATGCTTCATCTAGGAGAAAAGGAACATTCACCGTAAATTAAGACCAATTTCCTCAGTGCAAGCATGTTACGGGGCTGACTGATGCTTCTAACAGTTTTCTTTAATGGCGTGTTTTCTGTTGCTTCATGGTGCTATTAAACTAATCAGGATGAAAGGTCCATTTGTTTCTGCATGTGGAAAATATAGATGAGCATAAGAAAATAAAAATTTTCGTTATCCCACCACTCAAAATCACTGGTAACATGGCGTGTAGTCATTAAATTTTTTTAAAATGCAGAGCAAATACTTATTAAGATCGAAGCAACATAAATTGTACAAGTGATTGTTTCTCTCTGCTCTTCTGAAATCCAATCCTAATGCTCAGAGGTAATTGTGACTAAACTTGGCGCACAGCCTTCCACACTTTTCTATGAGTACATGTGCATACTCGCTTTTGTATGAAATGGGATCACACTACACAGAGGGACATTTTCAACACTATTCTTAGTGGAGGAGCTGCAATTTACTTAACCATGTCAAAGGTCCATCCCAAGGAATGCTACTACTTAATGCATCGCCCTCATGCATGGATCTTCAAAGCCCTGTAAGAATATTTCTTTAGGAACTTCTAGCTCTAAAGATAGGTGGGGCAGGGTATACCTCAAAGGTATAGTGCTTGTCTAGCAGGCAAGCGGCCTGGGGTCTGACCCCAGCGTTAGAAACTGGGGCGGGGGAAAAGATGCCTACTCTGTGCATAGCTATTTCTTTTTAGAAAAACTGGGATTGTATGAAGTGTACTTTTTAACTAGCTTTGATATTTTATGGTGGTTACAGTTTATAACCTGGACTTTTAACTGCATAACCTACATGAGTCACGTCCCAGGAGTGTTCTTCCATGTGATTTTTAAGAACTGTAGCATATTTTAATTTTACTCGGTGGATATATTTAATAAAATTTCCATTATTGTGTATTTTAGTGATTTCTAACCTTGTCTAGTATAAAAATGCTTTGATGAACATTTCTGTACATAACTTACCATGCATAACTGTGATTACATACTTTGGATAATTGTTTTTGTTTCTGAGACAGGATCTCACTGTGTAGCCCAGGCTGGCCTTGAATTCATGGCAGTCTTCCCACCTCTGCCTCCCAAGTGCTGGGAGTACAGATGTGGATCACACCCAGCTATTGGGACAACCTTCTAAGTGTGAACTTGTTGGGTTAAATGTAAAGTTTTGCTGTAATCACCGAACTACCTCTAAAACAATCATATTAAAAATCTTGATTTGGGTATTAAAGAGATTACTTCCCATAAGTGGTATGTTTTACAAAATTTGATCTAAAATAAGCTTCTGATAGACTGTGTATAGTATCCATTTTGTATATTATCATATGCAAACATAACTGCTTCTGCAGTGTTGTCAGGATGGTTTGGACTCTTCACAAATCAGTGTGCACCCAGAAAAAGGAAAATATTGAACTTTATTTATTTATTTATTTATTTTTGGTACTGGGGATTGAACTCGGGTCCTTGCTCTTACAAGGCAGGCCACCGAACCGCTGAGCTGAATCCCCGGCCCTTGAGCATTTTTTAAAAAGCCAAAATACAATGTATTTTAGAAGATGAAAGTGATAGGATAAATATCACATAATACAAGAAGATAATCTTCCAATATCTCAAACTACAGAATCCTAATTAACAATTTAGTCTTAGAAAATTACATTTTAATACTTTTACACTTTATTTATACTTACAGTTTTTTCTTTCACATTCCAAAACACGGCAGCTCCTTCCCTGATTTAAGAGAGTAAGAGTTAACTGAATGCACTTGTTAGTATTATATATAAAGTCATGCTTAGGTAACATCTAGGACAAATATGATTATGGACTGATTAGATAATTTGGTCACTAGATGAACTTCTAAAATCCATGGTTTCTCACATGGATTGTAGTATAGGTAGCTATTATTGAGACACTATCTAACTTCATGTTACCTAGATGCCTCCATATCTGGTTGACTTCTGATGTATGGAATTCAAAGTGAGGAAAATATTTTTGTGTGGGTGGTGCTGAGGATTGAACCCAGAGCGTCAGGCAGGCTACTAGGCAAGAACTATATCATCAGCCCAAAATGAGGAAAAGGTCTGAGACCCCCACCTTCGTTCTCATTAGGCAGATTCTGTTATGGAAGAGAATAAAGGATCATGTTTTCTAACAATTGTGGAAAAAAGCAAACTTCTTACAGAATGAATAAAGCTTTCTCACAGAGTGCTTAGAACAGCTATAATTAAGCCACAGGAGGCCTTCTGAATTAATCCTGACTTTGGAAGAACTTAAAGTCTAAACTCTGTAAGTCAACTTGGTTTCATCTCTGAAGTAGAGTTATGCCCTGGGTTACTGTGCTAGAGGAGGAAAGAGTAAACAGAGGATGACCCTGTATCATTCTTTCTAAATTTCTTAAAGTGCTTAGTAGATATGTGGGTTTGTGTTTACTTTAGCAATTAGGATAAAATAGGAGTATGACTCAGTTCCTACCCTCTAAGAACTCTGATGTGGAAAAGACCGACACCTAGACCACCGATTATTTACAAGACTGTGATGAGCACACCAAGGGTCGTGCAGAGTGAACTATGGGATGCCCGGCAGAGGGTCATGGCTCCTAAAGGACCTGCAGAGCTGGCCAGGTGAGGGATAGATGTCACGATGTTGTGGGCAATGAAACAGGTTAAAGAAACAGGCAGATGGGTGGGTGGTGAACATCTATGAATCTACTCTTGGAGGCTGTCTCAAAAAGGGGGTGGGGGGGACTCTGGATGTAGCTCAGGATGAAGATCTGAGTTCAAGCCTTAGTATGGCAGTGAGGGCAGCAGGAACACTGCTGAGGTAGCCTGGTGGGAGTCCATGGATTTCTAAGCAGAACAGCGTCCTGATCGGAGCTGCCTACAACTGAGACAAACAAACTGGCAGGGAGGAACCAGTGAGTATTGGGAGAGGGACTCAGGACATGGCTTCCAAGGTTCAGTTCAGAGAATCACTCTGAGGCAGAAGGGAGCCAATGAATTTTAGACCCTTCCAACTAGCACCATGCTGGGCAACTTGGTCCTCACAAGCCACTGTGGCAGTGGAGCACTTGAGCCACGCCTGGAGCCATTACAGACGAGTGTAAGTGTACAATTCGCAGTGGCCTTCAAAAACTAGGATATAAAGGAGAATGGAAAGTCTCATTTTGATTATATGCTGAAATGATGAAATTCTGGGTTAGATAAAATACAAATGAATTCAGGCTGGGGATTTAACTCAGTGGCACTGCGCCTGCCTCACAAGCCCAAGGTCCTGAGTTTGACCCCCGGTACCAAAAAACAAAAACAAACAAACAAAAACCACTGAATTCAACTTCAGGCAACATGATATTATTATTCATATTGTTCAAAATTAACTTCATCTTTTTTTGTTTTTAAGACTGTGATGACTAAGAAATGTACCATCACATATGAAGCTTACACCACAGTTCTATTAGACAGGAGACGTCCTCAGAAGTCCTGACTAACTTGAGGGAGAGGGATACTAGTATTCCAAGTGGATTAAGTGTCACAACTTGATTTCATTTAAAGTTAGGGCCAAAGAGAAGGTAGGTGTCCATACTAACAATGATACGGCTTCCAGTTTACATCAACTGTAAGGACCAAGGCCACAAAAACACTCTAACAAAGTCTGGAACTTTTTTTTGAGACAGAGTCACATTATATTGCCAAGATTGGTCTTGAGCCCCTGGGCTCAAGTGAAGCTCCCACCTCAGCTCCCAAACAGAACTGCACACATGTGTTTAAAGTCTGGATTCTTATGCAGGTTCCATGTATTTCTGTTCTGCCACTATGAGTACTAGTCCTAGGACTAGGACTGCAAAATGCAAACAGTGGACATTCCTTGGTGGTAAGGACAGCAGCAGAGTGTTTCCCATGGCGTCTGTTAGCAGCATCACTCCCAGGCAGCTACTCTGCTGTGGTTGGTATTACAACAATCTTTAAATAAGCAGAGTAAGTTGTCTGAGCCAGGGTTCCAGTATGAGGTCTCTAGAGACAGGGTGAGCTAGAGCTTTAGCTGAAGTCTACTGAAGGGAAAGGAAGAAAAGCAAGAAGATGGCAAAGAGTGGGGAGGCAGCCTGTGCTTGATGAGGGGCTGTGGATGGACAGGAAATGGGTGCTTCCCCAAACTCAGTCCGTACTCACCAGTGAAGATAAACCAAGGGAAAACTACTGTATTGACTTTTTAAAATATTTTGTAACAGGATTGATCAGACAATCCCTAAACTTGACAAGAATTAGGTGAAAATCTAACTCAGAACTACGTGTATTCTGACCATGCAGACTGAAAGGTTTCCTCACATCTTTAAGACCACAGTGACCTGGCCACAGACCCTCCTCCCAATGGGATTTTGCTCTTTCCTGTCTCACCTGAAGAAGAATATTGTTCCAGGATCACCTTCTTTTGCAGAACTTTCCACACCCATCACCAAAGTATTTGCTGCATCTGTGATTTAAAATAAATACAAGGCCTTAAAAGTCACCTGTACACATTTTTTGAAATACTTATAGTCACTTTAAATACCACAAAACACTACAATATAATCTCCAACTTTCGGCTGTAATAAGCTTTAGAAGGGGTTTAAAATATGCAAATGAAAAAAAGACCTATAACAAACGACATTCCTAAAACATTCCACCTGTGATAGTATTATGAGTACTATTTATAATTGCATGTTCACACCCACTTTGATTCAGTAGTCTCTAATCTAGTTAGTAAATATAAAAATATTAAGTTCAATACAACTAAGGTTTAAGAAATAAACTGCTGAGCGTGGTAGCACAGGCCTGTAACTCCAGTACTCAGGAGGCTGAGGTAGGAGGATCGCCACAAGGTGGAGGCCAGCCTGGATTACATAGTGCGTTCAAGGCCAGCCTGAACTGCATAGCAAAACTCTGTCTCAAAAAAAATAAAAAGAGAAAAAGTAAAGAAAAATAATTAAACAACTTCATAAAAAATTGATTTATGCTTTCTCTTTACATACCTCCTTATTAATAATAATTTTAATATTCCCAAACTACTCATTCTATTGAATTAAATACTACTGTATAAAGTCAGGAAAAGAAAATATACTGAAATAAAGGTATCTATCATTTCAAAACATACCTGCTTTTAACACTACTATAGTTAGTTATCTGTTACTTACAAAAAAAATTTTTTTTTTGGTACCAGGGATCAAACTCAGGACCTTGAGCTTGCAAGTCATGTGGCGGAACCACTGAGCTAAATCCCCAGCCCTGTTTCTTACAAATTTTAACTTTTTAAATATTTGCAAACATACACCAATATACATAAATAAGCAACTGTTTAACATTAGTATAGTAATAATTCTTATTATATAAATGTCCAATGATGTAAATTATAAAGATGGTAATATATCAATCAGGATATAATTATCAACTTGTAAAAAGTTATATACAATTTTTTTTATCACAGTACCGGGGAATGAACTCGGGGTGCTCTATCACTGAGCCACATCTTCCTCACCTCCTTTCGTTTTTTATTTGAGACAGGGTCTTGCTAAGTTGCCCGGGCTGGCCTTTTGAGCTTTAACCCGCTGCCTCAGCTTGTGAATAGCTGGGATCACAGATATGCTGCCATGTCTGGTTGTATATAATTTCTTACATAATATTAGGAACCGCAAAGCCTCAGATTCTTAGTTGAGACTGGGGCCTGGAGGAATTAGAGACCAAACTAACCTACCTTATCAGGCTGAACTCTAAGCACTACATCCTATATAAGAGTTTGCTATCTAGTCAAAAGTAACAAAAATGAAATGGAAAAGATGGCTGGGTCACAAGGTCCTAGATATGATTCCCCTGAAATGAAAACAAAACCAAGGGCTGGGGATTTAGCTCAGTGGGTCTGCCGCCTGCCTTGCAAATGCAAGGTTACAAGTTCGATCCCTGGTACCAAAAACAAAAAACAAACAAAACCAGAAAGACCCCAGGTAACAAGTCCCCAACTCTGCAGCACTTGGAGACACACACCGGCCAGTCGGCAGTGCCCACGGGGTACCCCGGACAATACTCATCTTAGGGGCTTGGGACACAGCTGTTTTCCTAAGTCAAACTGTTTGTTTCTGTCATTAAGTGGCACAGTCTGTTCAGATCATCAAGGCCAAAAAGGCACAAGGACCCTTCAACTGTATGTGGGATCAATGAGTCTTTATAGAGAATTTTCTCTGTAGCAGGGAGCTTTGCATTTTGCTATTTTTACTACTCTAAGGCAAACTGATAAATTTTCTGAATATTGGGCTATCTTGAGATTTACTGTAAAATTCTCTTCCGCCAAAATGTTATGTCATTTATTAAAGTAGGCTAACTTCTCAAGAATCCTCCCTAGAGTTAGCCTAAAATACACTTGTTTAATTTTTTTCTTTCTTATATTCATTGTGTTTATCTTTTGACTAATTTAGTTATATTTAAAGTTCTGGGCTGGTAAATTTCTTTTTAGAGGCTCTCAATTTCACGGTTCCATAATACTAAAACAAATGTGTAATGTCAAAGAAAGGTAGCTTGGGACTATAGTTTGGGTAAGTGTTCTCCAAAGGCCCATATGTTCAAGGTTTAATCCCCATCTATGGCACTGTTGGGGAGGTGGTGGGACCTCAGGGGGGGTGGTCCAGTGGGAGGATATGAGGTCATCGGGGAGGTGCAGGCCCCTCCTCTTCCTCTCTGGTCCTGGCTTCCTGACAGCTGCCTTGCCAGTTCCCAAAGTGATTATGGACCAAACCCTCCTGACTGAGTCAAAATAAACCTTGCCTTAAGAAAGCTGACCAGCATACATGGTCCTTGATGTTCCTAATACTGATTCTTTAAAGATTAAATTATATTAATTTTAATCTCAGAAGTACATTCTATACATTTAGTTTCTTTAGAAGTCATTTGCATAAACATTTGACACCTTAGGATACAATCAAAAGAAAAGCAGATCAAACAAATGCTACTTAAGACAGTATCACAGCAAAATTATTTTCCTATACAGTAACACACGTGGCTGCAGGGTCAAGCAGAAGTACCTGTAGGCAAGCTTGTTACTTCCACATATCCACAGGAGGTCAGGTCCTGAGACAGATTTCCCAAATGATACTCATCTGCCGTGGCGAATGCTGTGCAGTGCATCAGGTTCTGTTTTGAGGATGAGCACAAGAAGGGTCACTAAGAGGCTCAAGCACCTCTGATGACTCCTGTGACCCCTTAAGGGACCCCACATGGCAAAGCCAGCATTCAAGAGTTTTCTTCAGATACCTCAGAACTTCACCCAAGGGATGCGATGAGGGTGAAGACAAGGAGGATACAGGGAGATGAATTCAGCTCAATCTGCCAAAGCTTCAGGTAGCCAGCGATGGACCGGCCTATCCTGAAGGAGTCCGGGCCCACCAGGAGCGCCAGGAGCAGACTGAGTGAAGGCGTCCTGTGGGGCCGGGTGAAACAACTCTCTCCAACCCTGGGTCACCACCACTTATCACCCAGGTCATTTGATCATTTGTTACTAGCTATGTACAGGCAGATTCCTTAACTTCACAAATGAATGACAGTATTTTTACTCCAGTTAACAGTAAGCAAGAAGATCTGTAGATACTGAGAATGGGCTGTTTGGTGAGTGCTCTGTGCTGTTGTTTGTGTCAGGTTGTGTCTATGCAACTACACAGGGTAAGCAACAGTGTTTTCAAACTGTAGTTTACAACCCGTTAGTTTTGATGTCAATTTCATTGGCCTAAATGACCTTAAAAGATTAAATGAATAAAATGGAAATACCACAGTGTATTACTCATAGCAAGAACAAATGTTTTTTTTCTCACAAGTATGTGCCTATGTATGCACATGGTCATGATGTATGTAAAATATAAAATGTATTTCTCATAAAGGATGTGGTCAAAAGTTTGAAAGCTATCTGCCCACGAGCTAAGATTTCAGACATAAAAAATGTGAAAAGTTTAGAGTATCAGAATAGTATTAATGCCCACTTTATATAGGTTTGTTTTTAAGTTTAAACAAACTGATAAACTGCTCAGGATTGTTAACATTTGCTAGATTATAGGGGGTCAAAAGAAGTTAATGAGTCACTAAATCAGTGCTTATTCTTTGGTCTTACTTATCTCAGCCCTCACATTCTTTCTCACTCTGTGAATTCCCAGAATGGAATTCTGGAGCAGCAAGTAAGTGGTCTGGAAATTCCTTCCTTCCTTTCCTGTTACCCAACTCTTGCTTTTAGTCAAGGAAAGGCCCCACCATGCTCTGCCTTTCCTCTGTTATGCATTTTAGCATGTGGCTTTAAAAGCAGCAGAGGAGCTGGGTGTGGTAGTGCATGCCTGCAATCCCAGTACTCAGGAGGTTGAGGCAGAGGATCACCAACATAGTGAGATATTATCTCAAAAAAAATTCAAAAGCCAGGAGTGGTGGCACAAGCCTTGTAACCCCAGTCTTTGAAAGGCTGTGGCAGGACTGCTGTAAGTTCGAGGCCAGCCTGAACTACAAAAAAAGACCCTGTCTCAAAAACACAACCCCTCCCCGCAAAACAACACACACACACACACACACACACACACACACACACACACACACACACACACACACACAAAGCAGAAGAAACAGAGGGCCCTGGGAGACACGCAAATGGAAACACTTTAAATCAATAAAATATCCACTCGGAATTACAGAGCAATTCAATTACAATTAAGTCAGACAATCTGAAATTAGTGGGGAATGTGGGCAGAGATGGACAGCGCCCTCCTCTGGAAGGTGAGAGGGTCCCGGCAGACGCCCACCGAGGACCAAGTCAGAAAGCGGACAGTCGATGCAGCATGGGAATGGGAACGTGTTAACTCAGACCTGCATGGCTCCCTGGAGTTACAATGAGTCGACGTGAGGAGAGCAGAATTTAAACTGTGTGGATGAAGGACAGAGATCCTGTGAGGACCCATCAGGTGAGGGCACCAGGCAGGATCCACTCAGTGACACCAGATGCTTCCTTTCTGAAGCTTGCTGGGCAAGATGACTTCTGTGACTGCCCCAGTGGATACACTCACTCTAGGTGGAAGGGGAAGAGCAGAGGCACAAAGATGAGACAAGAGGGAGAAAGGTGAAAAGCCAGATCAGGAGAGGCCGGGCCTGGAATCGTGCTGAGCTCAGCAGAGGCTGCTGGCTTCTGTAAGCCAAGGGTTGCGACCTGACAGCTTGGAGGACCATCTATTAGAGTTAACCTACACAGCAATTCAAAAAGGTGAGCTAGCTATCAACAGCAAATTCAGAGATGTCACACAAAATCCATACAGCCACCTTTGGGTCAAGTGGGAGGTCTGGCTTTCAGACTAGGGCTGAGTAGAGGTCTGCGGTGTTCGAGGATGAGACACGGCTACTCATTTAGCAACTTTTTCTTTTCTGTGGTACTGGGGATTGAAGCTAGGGTCTTTGGGTGACCCAGCCTTTTTAAAAGATTGTTTTAAATTCTGAGACAGGATCTTGCTAAGGTGCTAATTTGCTGGGCTAGGCTTGAATCTGTGATCCTCTGGCTGCAGCTTCCTAGAGTGCTGGGATTACAGGGGTGCAGCACACACCTAGTGAAGGGAAATATACTCTGAACTATAAATACATTACACATAAATCTTTAAACACAATGTGTTCCACTCAGCCACTCTTAACTCTGTCCTAAGTTTTCTGAAGCTTGTCTCCTTTTGTCAGCATCTTCTCTTAGATTGGCCTTAAGCTTTTCTCCTGTCACACGCTTATTGTTGCTTGCCACGTTACTCTATTTAAAATTGTGGGCTGCTTCTATTAAATGAGTCAAACATTTTAAAGCACAGATTTTTCTTTCTTGGTACCAGGGATTGAACTTGGGACCTTATGCTTGCAAGGCAGGCACTGGAACCACTGAGCTAAATCCCCAGCTCAAAAGTTTAAAATCTGACTTTTTGACATCTTTTTTGGTTTTGTTTCCTCTGAAATTTCAAGTTTTTATTTAAGCCTATTTGGTTAAGGGCAACAACTATAGCATATTGTGTCTGCATCTATTAAAGGTGCTTTTACTTTGAAAAGCTTTCAGTTTCACGTCTTTTTCTAGCGAAAACTCATTTATTTAGCTCTAGTTACATATCCTATGTATAAAGCATATTTCAGGTTTTAAGATGGGGGTCGATTTACTCTTAAATAGATGTGCCAAACAAATGAAAACAGTTACTGGGTTTAGGTAAAAAATTTAGGCCTATTTTAGTTTTTTTAATTTAAGACTATTGTTCAGTATGTGTTTTGTTTCTCTGGCCACAGAACATATTCCAGCAGATGGGGCTAAAAATCTACATATGATTCTTGTCCTAATACATCATATGCTCTGAAAAAAATTATTTTTATTCATGTACTACTGAAAAAAGTCTATGATGGTTGCCGGGTGTGGTGGTGCACGCCTGTAATCCCAGCAGTCAGGTGGCCGAGGCAGGAGGATCACTGTGAATTCGAGACCAGCCTGGGCTACATAGTGAGTTCCAGGTAGGTCTCAACTACATAGTGAGACCCTGTCTCAAAAAAAAAAACAACAAAAAAAAGGTATATGATGGCAATATTGCTTTTATTTTACTGTGATACCTGGATATAATAAGATTTATGTTCTTTCTCCTTGGCTCCTGGAACAGAACTCTTAAAGCCCTGATTTCCTAAGTGACACAGAGCGACAGGAGCATCTTTTGCTGCATTATGTCTCAGTGTCTAGCTGCTGGCACATAGCTCTTTCAGCGCACTGGAGCTTCCCCAGTGGCAGGAAATGAGTCTTGGTTGGCTCCTGAATGGCTTCAGAATGATTTCTGGCTGGTTGCTGGAAACATCAAACGCTGACTAATTAGAAGCTTGGAACTTCAAGTGACACCCTGTATTCAGGGGTAGCAAGCAGAGCTGGCAGTTGACGAGTGATCACACATGTGACGAAACCTCCAGAAAACACCTACACCAGAAGGCACACAGAGCTTCCAGGGTGGTGAAGTCATTCACAGGCCAGGAGAGTGGCACACTCCAAGTCCCCAAGGACAGAGGTGACTGTGTCAAGCACTTCTAGACATCACCCTGTGCATCCCTTCAAGGGCTGTTCATGTGTCCTTTATGACCTACTTCATAACAAGTAGTTTTGCAAGTGATTCTAGCAAACTCTCAAATCCAAGGACAAGGTCTCAGGAAGCCCTAATTTACAGCCACTTGGTCTGAAGTACAAGTGTTAACCTGGGACTTGAAGCTGGTATCTGAAGTGTGTGTGGGTGGGGGGCAGCCTTGTGAAACCCTGCTAGTGTCTAGAGAGTTGAAGAATTTGTTGATGGAGAACTCCACACTTTGGTGCCAGAAGTAATGTGAGTAAAAACAGATTGTACTTACAAAAGAAAAAATGCATTTTTCCCCCTCCTATACACTAAGTGTAGATGAAAGTTATCAAAAAGTTTCATCTCACATGAATGGTAAAATGCTTTAGCTTATAAGCTGTTTTGACCACAACAAAGCATGCGATGATAAATCATTTTATACACAGTACACACATATCCATACGCACACACCAATAACTGCCATAAAAGCTTCACCAACTACCAGTATTTATCCTGGGCAATGCATTCTGGTCTATTCTATTTCTTTTCTTGAAGTGCTGGAGATTGAACTCAGGGCCTTTGAACTGAGTCATATCCCCAGGCTTTCTACTTTTTTAAAAACTTAGTCACTAAGTTGTCCAGGCTGAGGTCAAACTTGTGTTCTTCCTACCTCAGCCCCTCAGAGTGATGGGATTATAGGTGTGCAGCAACTCACCTGGCTTCTATTAACAAAAAAACAAAAAACATTGGCCACCCACTAGTCAATTTCACCATGCACTGTGGCATTGGTCTGAACCAACACTAACCAGCATCTGTCACTCTCAGGCCAGGCGCTGTGCAGGATGTGTTTGTCAAGTGCTGCCACTGCTCTTCCAAGTTAGAAATCAAAAGGACATGGGCTGAGGAGCTCAGCGGGGTGGCATAAGCAAACAAGAACAGGCAAAAACTTAACTCCAATACGCAGGGTGGCTGAAACCTCACTCACCCTACTCCAAATGCCTGTGCTGGAGCAAGTGTGGGGATAGGAAGGTGCACATGCTTCCTGAGACCATGCAGACAGATCATTGTCTTGGGCAAGAATAGTGGAAAGGGTAATCTTGCAACAAAGGAGTCACCAGCTCCGTGACTCCCATAGGAAAATGGGGTGGCTCTCAAAATGGGACAGATAAAGTCAATCTTGAAGCAGGGCATGGTGGTGCACACCTGTAATCTCAGCACTTGGGAGGCTGAGGCAGGAAGGATCACTGCAAGTTCAAGGCCAGCCTGAAATGTATAGCGAGACTGTCTCAAAAAACCAAAGTCAGTCTTTTACACTACTTGCCACACCTCAAGATAGCCTTTTCTCCCAAAGGTAGTCAAAGAATAATGGTTCTCAATTATGTTACCTCAGTCAATTTAGAGACATAAGATTTCCTAATATTTTCTTGTGCATTTAAAGAGGGAACATACCATTTCTGATTTTTGCAAAACTCCATCTAAACTGTCATGAGCCCTCTGAACGGACCCAAACGTGTAATCCTCCTGCCTCCCAGAGTGTTAGAATTACAGAGGTGCACTACATCCCCAGCACATCTTTTAAAATTTGATGAAGAACTTCTGGTTTGATTTTTTTTTTTTTTTTTTTTTTGGTGCTGGGGATTGAACTTGGGACCTTGCACTTGCGAGGCAGGCAGAGAACCACTGAGCTAAATCTCCAGCCCCTGGTTTGATTTTTTTAATGAACAGATCTTTTCTACAGTTTTATTCCCAAAGTGGACTTATAATCAATCCTTTTATAAACTCTTAACTTTTTTCTTTTTTTTTGCCTATAGATTATATGTATTACTAATTCTTAAAAATCAGCATTTTGATTCCCTTCGGATATGTTATGCTGGGCTTCAAAGACTTGAAAAGAGTTGTGTTGGTTGCCAGTTCTGCTGTGTTGGCAGCAGCCCACACTAGTTTGGACAGCAGGCAGTGACGGATAAGCACAGCACAGCCACACTGTTTACCTCATTCACAGACAGAACTGGAAGGTTGGTCCTGGATGGCTGCCTGGTCCTGGATGCTTTCAGGGGTCTCTTGATCTGGGGAAAGTCTTGTCTTGGAATAAATGTTTCAGTTGATGCAGATGAGTGATGCCTCTTTAATATTTTTATAAACCACTTAGAACCCAAAAGATTTGGCTTGTGGGCCACTTTCCTATGAGTACCAAGTGATTTCCTAGATGGAAGGTACATTTTGTCATCCTGGCAGTGTGCAGCGTTTAATGGAGACAGTCTGCTTGCATCTGAGATTTTCCAGTTCATTTCCAGGATCCAAGGCCTACTCAAGACATCAGCTGCTTCAATAGGAAAATATGAATCCAAGTTTTGGCGGATTGTCAGGGTGCTGTTGCATGTTGAATCTCCAAACTCCTTAAGTGGCTTTAAAGTTAGATGAACCAGCTTTTGGCATGGATGTACTTTAGATAATATACTGTGAGATCCGGAGAGGGCTCTGAGAAGCCTGGCTGGCATTATGACATCCCAAGCTAAAAGAAATAGAATTTCAAATTCAAGTTATTAAAAAAAATTTTTTTTAAAAATGTATATTCCTAATCATCCAGATGCAGGGGATGGGGCCCAGTACATTATTTGATGTCATCTAAGTGCCCTAAGTCTGCAGTGTCAACTTTGCAAGCTATTGCTAGAAATTTTCTCTTTAGGAAAATAAATTTATATCTAAAAAGTACCAATAAATGTTTTGCTTAAAAAAAAAAATTTTTTTTGTGTTTTGTTTTTTTTGTGTTTTGTTTTTTTTTGTTTTTTTGAGACAGGGTCTCACTATGTAGTTGAGACTGACCTGGAACTCACTATGTAGCCCAGGCTGGTCTCGAACTCAGACATCCTCCTGCCTCAGCCTACCAAGTGCTGGGATTACAGGCTTGTGCCACCACACCTGGTGAAATTTTTAAGGTATATATAAATAAAATATTTCCCTAGGCAAGAGGCATATATCTGTTACAAAAAGTGTGAAACAGAAACATCTTAATTCTAAGAAAAGAACAAAGTAAAACAAATAACTGTTGTAGCTCAGTGGTTGAATGCTTGCCTAGTATGTGCAAGGTCCTGGGTGTGATCCTCAGCATTGCCAAAAAATAAAGGTAAAAAATGTAAAAAGTGTGAGTGTGTGATACATATATATATTTTTTCCTATATATATTATGTAATATACATATAAAAGCCTCTGCCTTTTTTCATTTAGTCAGTATTTGGCTTTCTTTCTGAAAGATTACATTATAAAGCTACTGACATGATAAGGACTTTAAAAGAGGAAAAAGTGATGGAGTCTATTCACTTGCTGCCTTAGCATACAAACTATTTTTTTTAACTTATGCTTACAAATTCCTTTATTCAACCTCAATAATGAGAAGGCAACTAACTAAGGCCAGGGATATGTCCTCAAAAGGACACGAGTCCCTCTCATCACAGTCCTGAGCTCTCCTGGGACAGGCATTTTTAAGTGCTCATTAATTCCATGGAACAGACCCTACTGCTGAGCTGTAGCACAGGAGACTGAGAAACACAGGAACTCATCTTGTTCTGCATGATGACTCTGGAGAGGCTCCCAGAAAGATTTATGCTACTTTTTGAAGGAGAAGCTTTGGGATGAGGTCAGACATGTCAAATACACACACACACACACACACACACACACACACACACTCCATTACATAATTTCTCTTTACTTACATCCTAAAACATTTATTTTTTCAAAAGTAAGCCTAGGCCTAGGGATGTGGCTCAGTGGCAGAATGCTTGCTTAGTGTGCTGGCCTTAGGTTCAATCCCCCTGCAACCCAAAAAGAAGAGAAAAAAAGTCAACCTATAGTAGGTGATCAGTTCCTTAAAAAAGAATCCTAGCTGCTAGAGATACAAATATAAATCAGTAACACCACAATTAACAGCCCAGCTAAGGAAACAGAATAATATAATGTACAAGTGCTATGGGGTCCCGGGAAGGAGCATCTGAGGTGAGAAGTGGATGTGACACTGGTGGCTTTTGGACTGGGTCTTGAAAAGGCAGAGGGATCAATCAGCAAATCAAACAGCTCAGGTACACTGTGTTGCTTACCTGACAAACAGGATGCAACTTCCAAGATGGGAGGGGATGCAGGAGGTAAGGACAGAAAAGGAGCCCATGGCCAGAGCCTGCAAAGATCCATTAAGTGATCCCACAGGGTTTTCCATAGGTAGAGGGAAACCAGAGCTTTTAGATTTGAGATTCATATGGTGAGATGTATTTTGCACAAACAAGTCTTTGGTAAAGATGTGAAGGAGGAACTGACAGAGACTAAGACATTACTTTCTAGCGCTTTCTATATACCAAATGTTCTGTTTTATGTCACATTTACCGACATGAAAATCAAGGTTTAGAGAGGATAATAAGTCATAGTTAGCAAGCAGCAGAGATGTTACAAACGCCCAGGCTTTCCCATCCCAAAGGCACTACAGAGTAACACCTCCCTTAAAAGGACAGGGATGAGTCACAGCAATGTTTACCAGGTAGAACTTGCTGCTCTCAAAATATCTTCAAAAGCTGGTATTCTGTGTTAGGTTCTAGTCCAGTGAACTACTCTTGATCACCTGTAATTTGAACTCTTCTCTGCCAATTGAACCAGAGTGTTTTTGTTTGGCTTTTTGAAACAGGGTCTTGCTATGTAGCCCAGGCTGGCCCGGAACTCATGATCTTCTTGCCTCAGACTCACAAGGGCAGGGATTAAAAGTCTGTACCACTGCTTCCAGCTGAACCAGCTGGGTTCTGAAGACCTTAATTATAAAAACTTTATAGAAATCTGTGTACAGACTTGGATTCTTTATCTTTGAGGAAGTTCTTTACCTCCAGACTTTCTTGGTTGCTTTAGTATGGAAACTATAAGAGAAATGGAGAAATAAGATACTTCCATGACAAAGGAAACCTGAAGAAATTCATGATCCCCCAACCAGCACTCCAAAGTGTTCTGAAGGATATTCTAAAAAAAGATAACAAAGACTACAATTTTATAAACACCAATAGAAAGAATTCACCAGGTAAGAAAAGCAATTAAACAGAGGGGAAAGGGAATCAACAACTGAAAAATAATCTGACAAGAATAAATCAATATATATCAGTTACAACCATCAATGTAAATGGTCTCAATTCACCAATCAAAATAAACAGATTGGCAAAATGGATCAAGAAACAATATGCTGTATACAAGAAACATATTTAACTCAAAAAGAAATTCACAGACTGAAAAGCAAAGAATGGAAAACAATACTCCATTCATCAGAAACCTGGAAAAAAGCTAGAGTAGCTAGCTATGTTATTTGCAGACAAAGTGGATTTCAAGCCAAGAGTGATCAAGACAAAGAAGGTTATATCCTTGTTATGGGAGTAATCTAAGATGAAGAGATAACAATCACAAATATACATGCACTGCACCCACGTTTACAGCGGCACAGTTTGTAATAGCTAAAACTTGGAAACAGCCCAATTGCACATCAGTTGGTAACTGGATAAAGAAGATGTGGTTTTTCTATAAAATGGAATAATACTCAGCCATAAAGAATGAGAAATTAAAGTCATTCATAGGAAAATGGATACATATTGAGGATATACCCCTAAATGAAATAAATAAGTCACACATGTGTAAACACTGAATAGTTTCTCTGGTGTGAATTAACTGTAATAGTACATAAGATCCTAATGAGATAACTGACATTGTGAAATGGGAAGAAAAGGGCTAAAGGTATAGGGAAGGTGGGATGGGTAGGGGAAGGTTAATAAAGGAAAAGAAAAAAATGTGAGAAAGTGAAAAGATGGAAATAAAATGTCTGTAAATGGGGAGGGGAGGAGGGGGTGAAGGGAGGGCAGGGACAAGGGGAAAAAATGAGAACCAAGACCTGTCATATAGAGGTACAAGATCCCAACAATGAATGTAACTGTACTGTATCCCTAAAATGTACCAATAAACTCAATTAAAAAAAAATACATGCACCAAATACCAGTCCACTCAACTATATACAACAAATATTAGTGGACATGAAATAAACACCAACACAATGGTAATGGGGGATTTCAATACCCCACTGTCACAAACAGATCAACTAGACAAAAAAATCAATCAAAACTGAACCAAACCTGTGAACAAATGGACTTGGTAGGAGTATACCGAGTGTTCCACCCCACGTCAGAATACACATTTTTCTCAGATGCACATGGGATGTTCTCCAAAACAGACCACATACTAGCTCACAGAACATGCTTAAGTAATCGAAAAGCAAATGAAATTATCCCATGCATATTATCAGACCATAATGCAATGAAATTAGAAATCAATGGCAAAAGTTTGTAAATGGGGAGGGTAGGAGGGGGTGAAGGAAGGGCAGGGACAAGGGGAAAAATGAGAATCAAGACCTATTATGTAAAGTTACAGAATCCCAATGATGAATGCAACTGTATTGTATACCTAGATTGTACCAATAACCTCAATAAAAAGAAAAAAAAAAACAAGAAATCAATGGCAAAAGAAACTGAAAAACTTCATGAATACATGGAGATTAAATACACTACTGAACAACTGATGGGTCACAGATGAAACTAAAGAAAAAATTAGTTTCTACAATTAAATGATAATGCCAGTAGAACATATAAGAACTTATGGGATGCCATGAAAGCACTTCTATGAGGGAAATTTATAGTGGTGAATTCCCACTTCAGGAAAACATAGCAAGCTGAAACAAACAAGCTAATGTTGAAGCTCAAGCTGCTGGAAAAAGAACAAGTCAAGTCCAAAGCTTGTACAGGGAGAAAATTATAGAGATCAGGGCCTAAATTAATGCAATCAAGACTAAGAAAACCACACAAAGAATCCATTGATCAGAGTTCTTTAAAGATTAAATAAAATTGATAAACCCTTAGCCCACCTTATATAAAAAGAAAAACCCCCTCAAATCCATGCAATTAGGAATGAAAAGGGTGAAATCAAAACAGATCCTGCAGAAATCCAGAAGATTATTAATACCTACTTTGAGAATCTGTATTCTAATAAGATGGAAAACACAGAAGAAATTCACAGATTCCTAGATACACGTGAATTACTAAATCTGAATCAAGATGACATAAAAACTCTAAATAACCCAATATCAGTTAATAAAATTGAAAATGTAATGAAAAACCTATCAATAAAGAAAAGCCCAGATCTGATGGGCTTACTGTTAAATTCTACAAGATTTAGAGATGATTAATGCCATCACTCCTCAAACTCTTGAATGCAACTGAAAGGGAAGCAATACCCCCAAACTCATTTCTGGAAGCAAGCATCACTCTGATATCAAAATCAGGGAAGGATCACCGGGGATTTAACTCAGTGGTTCTGCCACCTGCCTCACAAGCACGAAGACCCGAGTTCAATTCCTGGTACCAACAAAACAAAACAGGGAAGGATCCAAACAAAAAAGACAGTTACAGGCAAATCTCCCTAATAAACATAGAAGGAAAATCCTCAATAACATACTGGCAAACAGAATGCAGCAAATCATCAAGATTATACACTGTGATCTAGTAGGATTCATCACAGGGATGCAGGGATGGTTCAACATACATAAATCAATAGATATAAGAAACCATAAAAGAACCAAGGACAAAAACCACACGATTATCTCAATAGATGCAGAAAAAGCATTTGACAAAGTTCAATACTCATTCATGATAAAAACCCAATGGAAAACTGCAATAGGTGGTCTTTATCTCAATCTGATAAAAGCCATTTATGACCAACCAAAAGCCAACATCATACTAAATAGTCAAATTGAAAACTTTCACTCTAAAATTGGGACCAGGATAAGGATGCCCATTATCCCCTCTTCTATTCAATACAGTTTTGCAAACATTAGCTAGAGCAATGACAGAAGAGAAAGAAATAAAAGGAATAAGGATAGGAAAAGATGTTAAATGATCCTTAGTTGCAGATGATGTGATTATATAGAAGATCCAAACAATCCACCAAAAGACTTGCAGATTTAATAACCAAATTCAGCAGTGTAGCTGGACACAAAGTCAACACTCAAAAATCAATACCATTCTTGTACACACATAACAAACTCACTAAGAGAGAATTAAGGAAACCACCTCCTTCACAATAGTATCAGAAAAAATCAAATAGGAATCTATCTAATGAAGGAAGTAAAATACTTTTACATGGGAAACTACAGTACTCTGAAAAAAAGAGATCAAAGAGGATATCAAAAAATGGAAAGATCCCTTGTTCTTAGGTAGGTAGACTCAATATAGTGAAAATGACCATACTTCCAAAATTACTACACAGATTTAGTAATGTACTCCTAATCAGTCTACCAATAACACACATCACTGAGTTGAAAACAATCCTGAAGTTCATTTGGAACCAAAAGAGACCCAGAAAAGCAAAAGCAATTCTGAACAACAAAGGTAGGTGGCATTACAATGTCTGACTTGAAATTATGTTACAAAGCTACCATGAGAAAAACAACATGGTGCTTGCTTCAGCAGCACACTAAAAAAAAGCATGGTATGGGCTGGGGATTTAGCTCAGTGGTGCTGCCGCCTGCCTCATAAGCACAAGGACCCAAGTTTGATCCCTGGTACACACACACACACACACACACACACACACACACACACACACACACACACAGTCACAAAAATAGCACGGTACCGGCAAACAAAACAAAAAAACAGATTTGGGGATCAATGGAACAGATTAGAAGATACAGAAACAACTCCAAACATACTCAGCCTCCTTATCTTTGTCAAAGAGGCCAAACACTTTCACTGGAAGAAGACAGCCTCTTTATTAAATGGTGTAAGAAAAACTGGCTGTCCACATACTGAAGAGTAAACCTAGACCCACATCTCTCAGCATGTACTAAATTACAATAGAAATGGAAGAAAGACCTAAATATTAAAACAGAAACCCTAAACCTGGAAACCCTAAAACTGGAAGATGGAATAAGTAGAGCTCTTGAAAGATATAGGTGTAGGCAAAATACTTTGTGGAAAAAAAAAAAAACAAGCAAACAAAAAACAACCAGGATCAAACAAGAACTATCACAAAGAATCAACAAATGGGATCTTATCTTATTAAGGAGCTTTTGCACAGCAAAAGAAACTACCAACTGAGTGAAGAGACAAACCAGAGTGGGAAAAAATTTTTGTCAGTTGTTTCTCAGATAAAGGACTACTATCTAGAATATAAAAAGAACTCAAAAAAACAAACCTCCCAAATTTAAAGATCCAATCCAAAAATTGGCATCTGAGATGAATAGACACTTCTCAGCTGAAGAAGTACAAATGGCAAATAAATATATGAAAAAATGTTCAGCATAACTGGTCATTTAAGAGTTGAAAATTAAAAAAAAAAACCACTGATATTTCATTTCATCCCAGGAATAATGGCTACTATTAAGAAATCAACCAGTGAATGTTGGTGGGGCTGCGGTGGTGGTGGTGGTGGTGGTGGTGGTGGTGGTGGTGATGGTGGTGGTGCGGGGGAGGAACCCTTCTCATTATTGGTATAAGTGTAGACTAGTGGAAATTAGTGTAGAGATTCCTCAAAAAACTAAGACCTGAGGTTCCATTTGACCAGCTAGTCCCCTTGGTATCTTCCCAAAAGAATTAACAGCATCACACCACAGCAATATATGCACACCCATGTTTATGTAAGACTTGAATAAGCTAAAGTGACTCCATGCTAATAGGCCAGACTGTGCTTCTTCATATGCTAATTGCTAACTTGGCTAACAGCCGGCCCAGGGACAAATGGTATGACAAAAGGTTACCATAGAACATTTCCTGCTTGAGATAAGCAATGTGTTTGTAGTCTTGTTCTGTGAATTCCCTGACTCTTTGTTTAGAAAAACCTTATAAAAAGCACCTCAGCCCCTGAGCAGTTGCCTCTCTGAGCTACCTGGCTCAGGGAGTGCCGTCTGGCCAGACTAATAAAGGTCTATTTACCATCTGGCCTGGTGTGTTCCCTCCTGGGTTTCTCGTTTTTCCGTCGAGCTCCCAGTGTTAGGGCCCAGCATCGTGGAGGCCCTTTCGGCTGTTCACGCTCCGTGGAGAAGTGAGACTTTAAGTCTTACATATATAGCTGCACAATTTGTAATAGCTAAATATTGGAAACAGCTGAAATGCCCATCAACCAGTGGATAAAGATGTGGGGTGTTTTTTTCTTATATACAATGTAGTACTACTCTGCTATAAAGATAAACGAGGCATTTCTAGGTAAACAGATGAACCTTGAGACCATACTCTTAAGTGAAACAAACCCGACACACGTTTAAGCACTGTTTCTAGGCGGTGAAAAACTAAAGTCTAAATACTTACGGGTTGAAAGGAAGGGAGGGGGTAGGAAAAAGAAGCAAGGTATATCATGTACAGGTACAAATTCCCTATGATAAATGTTATCATTATGTATATCTTAAAATGTACCAATAAAATGAATTTTTAAAAAATGAAACAAGGTCGCTGCTCAGTTCTTCGGCACATTTCTACTATTTAAGTGCAAAAAGGTCAATTAACAAAATGCTTACAGCTAGGCCACGATTCAATGGTCAAGTGAAATTAAACTAATCTTTGGGAACATGCCCACAATTCCTTACGCCAAAAACAATTTCATTCATTTTTGCTGCTTACTATTATGTTCCGGCTGAAAAATGGGGTAAATGCTGACTGTATGATTTTTACCTCCCAGCTAAGTCGAATAAAGATCACTCACTGCCTGGGGCGTCGGGTCACAGAGGTACTGACGAAATCTAGGTGACCCAAGAGGCTTCGGGCGCCAAGGCAGAGAACTCTGTGTCGGGCCACACAAGTGCTAGAAAAGGCAGTGCACTAACCTCTCCGCGAGAAAAGAAGATAGACGCGCCAAAGGTGCGAGCGAACGCGGTGGGACTGCAGAGTCGGGGACTGTCGCCCCTGGAGCCCCCAGCTCGCACAAGGAAACCTCCCTGGGAAAAGTGTTGGAGGACAGCGCAGGCGCACAGAACTCTAGGCCACACGCCTTGTGAACAGCTCTGCCCACGTGACCGCCGGGCCACGTGACCCAGCCCGCGACCTCTTCCGCTCCCCAGGCCCTGGGACCTCCCGGTCCTTTCCTGCTTCCGCCTTCCGTTCGCTTCCCTATTCCGCTTCTCTCGTCGCCCCACGTTGTCCCCGCCTTCATTCCCGGAAGAGCTCCTCATCCTGGAGCCAGCCGCTGTTTGCCACTTGCCCGTATCCAAATAAAGTTTTTTCATTCAAAAGCACCCCCCCTTTTTTTTAAAGCTACAGCACTCCATCCCTCAGCTCTTTCGCGGCGGCAGTGCTGCTTAATTCAGTGACCAGTGAGCTCAGATTTGGGGTTCTTGACTACGGACCGAATGGCGAAGTCTCCTTCGTTTCTCTCCGCAAAGGCCGTAGGGTTCGTCTCGTTTTTCTCCTGAATGTTTTGCGAAAAGACAGGCCTGGCTGGGAATTGTGGGTGACGAGCAGAGGACTCCTGCTCCCCAAAGGCTCCGAGTTCAAGTCTTGCCATGGGACGCCGCGTCCCAATGGCGCCTTCTCGGGTTTCGCCATCTCGCCTGGAGGAGACAGCGAGAGACAGAGAGAGGGAGGCTGCGTGCCGAGTTGCTCGCAGGCGTTAGGGCTGTCTCTACCTTGCGGCCACTTGTTATTTATTCATATTAATAAATGAGCTCGTGGCGGGGAGCGGTCAAAAGTCTTGAACATTTGGGAGCCTCAGGACTATTGGGATTTCTTATTCCTGACGCTGATCATAATCTCACAAACGTCCCTACAAGTAGTTCCCCGTTGTATTTTTGTAAGATACTGCAGTAGATGCTTGAAACTCAAACCGTATATTTACAGTTGTTTTTTCCGGTACATTCCTATGGTGTTTAATTTTTTTTTTTTTCCCTACCGGGGATCAAACTCGGGTCCTGGCGCTTGCAAGGCAGGCGGCGGAACCACTGAGCTAAATGAATCCCCAGCCCTGATGTTTAATTTTTGAGTTAGGCACAATGAGAGCCATAAAAATAACAAAAGACTAAAACAACTAGTCATTTAAAAATAAATTAATTTCTGGAAATTTCTATTTGAAATATTTTTGCCGGTTGACTGCTTGTGGGAAAAGGAAACAATAAAATGGGGAGGGTTATAGTGGATTTTGACTTTGTGGCAAACTTATGGATGATGGTAAAAATAATATAACAATCATTTTCATAAACAGCGGTCAAGTTCGTAATTGAAGTAAGTCCTTCAAAATATTGCAGAAAACACAGGAAAAAGTAACCCTACTTGGACAGGAAATAGATTAAGACCAGAGAGGTGAACGATGCTCCCAAATTAAGCTGGTATACTCTGCAGGGTGGTACAAACGTAGGCAGTGACCGCTTAGAAGCCTCTGACCTTACTCTAAGCCCTGGCCAGACCTTACGCTCTGAGTGAAGGCATCTCTCTCAGGAAGTGGGTAGAAAGGTAGTAATTCTTGGCAATTAATGTAAAATCGCAAGGAAGATCACTTGTTTTGTTACCTGCTACTTAAGAAAATTCAACTCATTTGGTTCTAGTTAATATCCCTTCTCACCTTTGAAAAGTAGTGATTTTTGAAAATTCAATTATAATCAGAGTAATTACTAGGCTCTGTTAGGGTAATCAAAGCACCACAGACTCTAAATGTGTTTTTGCAATTTGTTTTCTAAAGTTTAATCGTTCAAGGAATCTTGTTGGAGAAATATTCTATGTACAGCCCAACAATTCAAAAACTAGAAAGAGATACTGAAGCTTTTGGAAGTGTAATGATCCCAAATGAATGTAAATGATTTGGCAGAGACATTTTTTTCAAAAGTATCTCGTGAGCTTTTTGGTTTTACTTTGTCGCTGGTGACCTGTAGATAGAAGCACACGTCAAGCCCTATGTTCTGTTTTAAAAGTTTATGTATTGGTTAAAAAAATAGAAAAAGAAAAAGCTGCATGGAATTTCACCACGTAATAAATCCTGCTGATTTTTCCTTTCCCCTAACAGAATCTTACATATTTCCTTAAAAAATCTAATTATGTGGGGCCAGGGATTTAGTTCAGTGGCACCACACTATGGGCCAGGGATTTAGCTCAGTGGTGCTGCAGCTGTCTTCAAGAGCAAGGTCTTGATTTCGATCCTGGTACTGGGAAAAAAAAAATTATGTCTAAAATCAAGAATATCTTTAAATTTTTTAAATAAAAGTGTAAGTTTTTCCTTCCTCATCTCTAGCTTGCTTTATTCTTTTGCATATCACTGGGCTTTTGTTTGTTTTGTTTTTTAGCATTTTGAAACAGGGCTTCCCTCTGTAGTTATCTGGCCTTGAACTCACTGTGTAGCCAAGGGTGGTCATGAATGCACAGCAATCCTCCTGCCTCAGCCTCCTAAGTGCTGGGATTACAGGCATGATCCACCATGCCTGGCTAACATTTCTGAAAAATCTCTTAAGTTTTACCTGAGAGAGTGAGACAGTAGCTTAACTTTTTTTCATGGGCAGAGTAGGGTAAGAAGGCAAGTAGAGAAGCAGTAAGGAAAACCTTTGAAAAGAATTAAGATTAATTAGAATGCAGTCAGAAGAGAAAAACAGATTTTGTAAATACTTTAAAGTCTTTTATGTTCTTCAACCACAGCAGAGTCATATTTGTCCTTTTATCAGTGTGTATTTGCAGTACATAATTACATTCATCACGGAGAGTTGGGACATGGACATTAAGAATAGAGTTTTTACAGCAGCTTTACAACCACTGTCTCCTTCATCTTTCTGAGCAAATGAAGTGACAGTAAAGAAGAGCCAGTTTGATTTTGAGCCTAATTCTTTTTCTAGCCGACTGCATTGTTGAACTAGTTTCTGATGTAGGAAGAGAAAAGGAGTAGAATGGAAGAGATAAAGAATGATTAAATAGACTTCTGGGCTTAGAGGCACCTTTACTCATTCATTTCCGTGACACAGCAGAGTTTTCAAATGTTTTAGTCTTAATATAGTAGAAAAGGGGCCAGGGATTTAGCTCAGCAGTTCGGTGGCCTGCCTTGCAAGCGCAAGGACCTGAGTTCTATCTCTGGTGAAAAAAAAAA